ATCCTTCACCCATCCCAGCACCCATCACCCATCATCCTTCACCCATCCCAGCACCCATCACCCATTATCCTTCACCCATCCCAGCACCCATCACCCATCATCCTTCACCCATCCCAGCACCCATCACCCATCATCCTTCACCCATCCCAGCACCCATCACCCATCATCCTTCACCCATCCCAGCACCCATCACCTATTATCCTTCACCTATCCTATCACCCATCCTAGCATCCATCACCCACCCCGGCACCCAACACCTATCATCCTTCACCCATCCCATCACCCATCCCATCACCCACCACCCAACATCCTTGCCCCATCCCATCACTCATCCCAGCATCCATCACCAACCCCGGCACTCAACAGGCTCCTCTCTGGCTTGGTTTACTCTGAACCCCCATGTAAGGTCTGGCCCCCCAGGGCCAGAGAGAGGTGGGAGGACTCTGCCAGCAGGAAGGACTATGGGGGATGAGGAGGTAGGAAGGTGGCCAACACCCCAGGGGAAAACCCCCCCAGCCCTGTTTTTCCCTGAGATGAGGTTACCCCAAAAGCACTCCTGACCAATTTGAATCTCACTTTCGGACCACAGCATCTACAGGGGAGAGCTCTCCTTGCTACCTCAGCCCAGAAAACAGAGGGTCAGGCCCCCCACTAAGGCTCCCTTCCCCTGGGCACCCCTGCACCCCGACAGAGGGCTGGAGCCCTACCCGTACTCCTTGACGAGGTGGGGTCTGGGCCCGTTGAGCACAGCCTCGGGCGGCGGCGCGTGCGGCTGCTGCAGCCGGTTGAGGCTGTTCTGGCGGCTGCCCGGGGCTGGGCGGTACACGTGCTCCTGGGGGTTGGGGGGGGCCAGCACGCCCTCCTTGTGCTCCGCCGGGGCCAGGTGGGCCGCCGGGGCCAGCAGCTGCGCGGGGTGGTTGGGGCTCGCCGGGTACGAGTGGTCGGCCGCGTCTGACGCGTAGGATCTGCAGCACGGAGAAACCCCACTGTTGTACTCTTGGCGGGGGGGGGGGTCGGGGGGGGGGGGGGACGGGAGTGTTTCGGGGTTGAGCCAACGAAACAAAAAACAACCACAAAAATAGAGATGTTCAGGACAGCAGAGGGGAGGGGGACACCAGCACAGCTGAACCACTCTCTCTGCCCGTAGCTGCTAGATGGAAAGTGCCCCGATTTTCCCCCAGTGCCAAGGCTGCTCCTGAGGTCCAGGATGACACCCTGGGGGCACCATCTACCATGATGCTACCACGGGCTTACAGCTTATCACCCCAACCCTGCTGCGGGAACACGAACCCCCACAGACGGAGCAGAGCAAAGCCAAGCAGAGCCGGTGAGCTGAACGTGCAGTAGGTAGAACCTGCCTATTATCTGGGGACAGTGATCCTTCCGATGAGGCCATGTGATAGGGGGATGGTGAGAACCTGTTATCGGGCCGGAACTCTTTATCATACGCCATCATGTTCCACTCCAGCCGCCGGTTCCGGGCTTTCCTCACTTTCTTCACCTCCCGGGTGGAGTCCTCCACCAGCCGCTGCTCCTGCGGGCACACAGAGCCACAGCTCCACCTCCAGCACGGCTCCTCTGGACCAGGAGCAGTGCCCAGGGAGCATCCTCCAGCCCCAGGAGATGCACCAGGATGCACAGGAAGGTGATCATTCCCCAGATCCCAGGCAACCCCAGCTCCAGTCCCCCAGCTTCCCCCACCTGCCCGTTACCTTCTGTCTGCGCTTCTCCTTTCTCTTATCTTCTGTTGCCTGCAACATTTTCTCCTTCCACAAGTTGAAGAAGTAGGAGGGGTCGGTGTAGAATTTGAGGCCATCCTTTTTGTCATCCCTGAGCATTGGGAAGGGAGGAGAGAAGTTATCAGTCACAGGAGAAGACACCCGTTCTCCTGCACATGGGCTTTGGTACAGCCACGACCATAAAGCTGCTGTCCCACCAGGAACGTGTCCAACCCAGAGGTCACTACCTGTAGTACCACTGGGGGGTCACCCATCCCAGCCGCCCTCACAGCAGGGGTGGCAGCACAGCAACTGCAGAAATTGGCCTCTCAGGCCTCATCAAACAGCAAATGGGGTGCAAACCTGATGCCTCTCTTGGGAAGGGCTCCCAAGAACCTCCTGGGACCCCCTTGCTCCCCCCAGAGGAGATGTGCCTGTACCTGTAGGGCGTGAGGATGTTGAGGGGCGGGGGTTTGTCGCAGCGCTGGTACATCTCCATCACCGGGTTGGGGATGGAGTTGCGAGACACAACCTGCTGGTTCTGCACCGTGGAGCTCTTGAAGGCTTTCCTCATGTTGATGTCCTGCAGTGAAACTGTGGGCACAGCAAGGGGAAGGGATGCAGGGGTGGCCTCAGCCCCCCCGAACAAGGCATGGCGGGTGGTCCAGCCATAAGAACGTGCCCTGGCTGTCACCCCAAAACAGCCTCGGGCCCTCACCTTCCTCCACAGTGGAATCCAACTGCGTCACCTTGATGACCAGCAGGTCCACCCTCTCCTGCAGCGAGTTCATCCTCATGTAGAAGCTGTTGGCCTCGTTGAACAGCTCCCCGAAGATGTCCTCGGCGTGCCTGCCTGGCAGGGGACACCGTGCCCATCACCAGCCCATCCCCTGCACACTCACCTCTCCAGTGGCTCCATGCTCTTCACAGCCCTGATTTTTTAGGGAGCTGAGCCTCACCCTCTCCCAAAGCCCTGCAGAGAGGGAGGGGAGCAGAAATACCACCCCCACAAACACACTCAAGCATCCTTTCCAGTGAGTGGTACCCACGGGGGCACAGAACATTCACAGTGCCCCAAAAAGCCTTTGGATGCACCAGGACAGATGAGCCAAGAGAATGACCATCACACAGCATGGCCTGTGGAAAGCCAACCCTTTAAGGTGGGAAACCAGGAGCAGGGCAGAGGGGAGAGTTCCACAGCAGGGAGAAGCTGTGACTTGTTTAACTTCTTAATAACTTCATATTAACTTTATAGTAACTTTAGCAGTTGTTTTCCTGCAGCACTCCATGCATTGCTACAGCAGCTCTTTATTAGGGCTGTTCCTACCGTGGGGCTGAGCAAGGAGTCTGGCAGAGCATTGCTGACACCTGTAGGCTACAGCATCCATCCCATCCCTTCCTATCCCATACCCCAGCCCAGTCCCTATCCCATCCCAGCACCCATCCCAGCACCCATCCCATCCCAGCACCCCAGATCCTCAGGGTTTCCTCCAAACCCACATATCAAACAGCACCCAAAATCAAGGTACCTTTAATACCTCCTCAGACCATTCACCCAACTCAGTCATTTGTATTTGATTTCTTTTTCCTCTGGACAGGTTACCCATGGCCTGAGCACCCAAGTCACTTCCAGCAGCTCCATAAATATAGGGTTTATTTTTCTGGGAGTATTTTAGAGAAGAATCTAGTTCTGGAGTGGGAGAGAAGAGGGGGAGCCCTGAAGAACCTGGGCTTCCCTCTCTATTTTAATTGGATATTCAGCAGTGAATGAGGTTGTCCCTATTAAACCTTCACACTGGAGTGCAGTGCTCTTGTCCACTCCTTTTCTGCTGAGATCAGTCTCAGGGAAGGAAGACAGCTGAGGATTTAGACCTTTTATATAGACCTCTCTTCCTCATAAAGCTCTCACATTAAAATGCATAGGTTGGAGTAGTATTTTAGATCTTCACCTGATTTTCCTATTCCTGGCCAAGTGAAGAAGCAAGAGGCTCACAAAGCCTTTCTGTCCCCCACTGCACAGACCAGCTGTGGGACAAAAATGGGCCCTAAAATGTCTTAAAAAATCCCCAGTTTGGGCTTGGCGCTAAGCCCCCTCTACTTTAAATTAGCTGAATAATTCCCACTGAATGAGCAGGGGCTGCAGCCCACATGGCTCTCACATAGCCCCCGTTTCTCTGTGTTTGGAACCAGAGGAAGCATCTGCAGCATCCAACCATCAACCCACCGCCCCACCACCGTCCCACGCTGGGGGACTGCCATGCCACAACTTACTGAGGCTGCCCAGCTGCTTGATGATGGCAGCCAGGGTGCTGTTGGTGACACACTCCAGCTCACTGGTCACCCCATCGGGCAGAGCCCCCCGGCACAGGTGCCGGGGCTCGATGTTCCTCTTCACCAGCGGCATCCTGCCTGGGGGCCCTCACGCCTCTGCTGCCAAAAGGAGAAAGAGAGGAAACAAAGAAAACACATTTTACCATTTGCCTTCTTGTCCTCCCATTCCCTCTGCTTTCTGCCCAGGATACTCCTCCTGCCCACGCTGGGACACAGCGGGTGGCAGTGGGGCTTTCCCAAGCAGGGGGTGTCCGTGGGTGCAGACCCTGGGGTGCTGGCCAGCACGTGGATGCCAGGATGGAGGTGAGGACCTCACCAGGTCCCTGTCCCTGCCCCTGTGCTCTCCTGCCAAGCCACCGTGTGCTTTCCCCCTCACCTCCAGAGCCGTGCTCAAACCAGGAGCAAAGCCCCATGTGCTGCTTCCCTTCTGCCGGCCTCAGAAAGCCTCATCCAGCCCAAAGAGAAGCGAGGAAGCGCTTGTAATGCCATTATTTCCAGTTCACTGCCGGCTCTCCAGGGTTTTATTTGTGCACACATTGCACTGAGGCAAGCTGCTGGGCCCAGCTCATCCCAGTTCCCTGCACAGCCCCCCCCCCAGCATCCCTGTGTGTCCCCCCAGCATCCCTGTGTGTCCCCCCAGCATCCCTGTGTGCCCCCCCAGCATCTCTGGGTGCTCTCATAGCACCTCTGGGTGCCCCTCCAAGCATGTCTGGGTGCCCCTGGCTCTGCTGCCACCCCCCCTGAACTGGGCATGGTTCATTTTCTCTGGGGCTCAAGAAGACCCAAAAGCCTCATCTCTAGCAAGAGCACCCATGGGAGCTGGCGAGGGAGGGTGAAGGGTGGGCAGCACGGGGTGGGGGGATGCTGGGGACAGGTCATCCCGCTGATGTAAAGGGGGAGTGGTGGGAAACAGGCTGGGAAAAGAGGCAAAAAAGGAGCATTTATTAACCAGGGTGATGCCTCCCGGGGTGCTGCAGCCTGGGACTGGGACACGGACAGGCAGGTTTGCACAGGGGGGCCTGAGGTGCCACGAGTGCATCCGGACTCAGCTCCACTCCCAGCGTGAAGGCGAACTGATGGTCGGGCTGATAAGGAGCAGAGAGCACAAGCAGCATCCCCAGCTCCCGAGTGCAGCGAGCGGAATCCCCCCCGTTTCACATGCCGGGCACTCCCCCATCCGCCCCGTCTTTACAGAACCCTGGCAGCGAAGGAAAAGCAGCTTCCGTCGATGGCCGGGAGCGGAGCCGCCGGGTGCCGGCACGGGAGCCAGCGCTGCTGCCCGCGAACAGAGCCAGCAATCTGCAGAGTTCACATTTTTTGGCCCCGGCAGCGTTCGACAGAACAGTTTCCCATTGATAGCAGCCGGCCAGTGCTCCCGTCCCCCCGCCGGCACCACCGGCTCCTCCACAGTTTTCAAATGCAAATTCAAGCTCCCTCCGCGAACGAGTCCAAAACTTGTTCCCCAGTCATTCATATGGAGCTTCCCAAAGGGCTGATTGTGCTCCCAGGTCGGTGTGGACAGGGCTGGGCTCTGCTCTGCCCCAGGCCAGTCGGGGCACCGTGGGAAGGAACCCAGCCCTGACCCCGTGCGATGCTTTGGGCTCAGAGCAAACAAACCGCGTGTCCTCCGGCGCTTCCCAAACTTACTGCACATGGATGTGGGGCTGGTACCGTCCCCGGCGCCCATAAAACCAAGAGGTTCCTGCCAGCAGAAAAGAGTTTGCAGGGGAGACTCTAGATGTCTCCTGATGGATTGTCTGCTCGGGCCACGAACAGCCCGTGGGCACCCCTTGGGTCCCCCCCCGGTTGCATAAAGAGCTGAGCAACGCTGGCAGCTTCACCTCAAGCTCACTGTGAGCCGGTTTAATGTGTCACCCCAAAATCCGCCCTAGAGGCTGAGCCCCGACACGTCCCCCCGGGGGTTCCCCCCGAGCGGCGGCCGCAGGGACCGGAGGGCACAGGGAGAGCTGTTAACGAGCTGCTCGAGCCCAGCAATTAGAAACAGGGAACAAAGAGCCATTCTCGCACCCGCCTGGGACACGGCCACTGGAATCAGCCACCGGCACCCGGGGCTTTTTGTCCCTCCCAGGGAATCCGGGGGGAATCGGGGCCACCCGGCTCCTCCAGCCCCCGCGGGGACCCCAGGGAGGAATGAATTAAAAAAAGGCATCTGTGGTTTGAAACTTCCCCGCAGGGACAGACTTACAGAGAGGCAGAGGGTGGGTAAGGGGCCTGACAGCAGCACTGGGGAATGTGCCATGGGAGAGCATCCCCGGAGAGGAAAAATCCCTTTAATCTCACCCCTAAAAAGCCCAAACGAGATTCAGAGCCTGCAGCAGGAGGAACCAAGGAGGAACTGGGCATTAACCCTGCCCAATTAATGGCAGGTAGCAGGAACACAGGGATCAGAACCCCCTGCCAACCCATCCCATGACAAGTGTTCTCTCAACCTGCTGCACCAGCAGCACCAAACCTCTGACTTCTGGCTTGAAACCCAACTTCTGATCTAAAACCCGTGCCCTCAAGGCCTGTCCTGACTCAGGGGACCACAGTTCTCTGGGTGAGGATGGGCTACACACAACCCCACAGACACCATCTTAATCTTAATATCCCTCCTGGCACATCTTGCTCACACTTACCAAGCAGCTGCACACAAATCCTGAGAGTTGGTGGCCTGGCCAGAGCTCCAGCAAAGGGGCTCCTGCTTTTGCTGATACTTCTGGTAATTTCCAAGCCTTTCAGGGGGTGATTAAGGGTGGCAGGTCCTCAGACCTTCAGGAGAGGGGACCCAGGGGCAGGAATCTCCTGGGAGCAGGGCTGGCTCCCTGGTGCAAGAGGGAGAAGTCCAAACATTGACAGTCAGGCCTAGACCTATTGAAGATTTTTTTCATACATAGGACCACCCCAGCTCAGTGCTCAGCACCACGGGCCACCATCAGGTACTGGGATCCCCAGTGCAGCCCAGTTGGGCACTGCCCCAGTAAAGCCCTATCTGCAAGGGGGAAGCTGCAGGGCCAAACTGGCACATTCCCATGGGCACAACCAGCCCCTGATGGCCTTGATCGGCCTCATCTGGGACCCCCCAGCCCCACCCATGGCCCAGGAGGTTTTTTAAATTCAGCTGGGGGTGCCAGACCTGCTCTGAAGGAGTTGCTGGTCCCCAGCTCTGCTTCTGGCCCTGCTCCTGCCCTGGGTGGGTGGCAGTACCGGGGAAACTCCTGGGTTTGGCACAATCTTCAGGGTGGGCATTGGACCTATGTCCTGCTCCCTTCATTCTGGGTGCCCCTGGGCCTGCCAGCAGACTCTGCTCTGGCTGCTGTTTGCTGGTGCTGGGGAGCTCCTGCTCTGGGGTCACCCTGAGCTCCCACTCCCCTTCCCCCTGTGGTCCCCGGCCCTGCTGTGCCCTAGCAAGGGCAGAGGCAGCAAGGCTGGGGTGGCACCTCACTCACAGCACTGTGGTGACCTTGTCCTGGAGCTGGGAGAGCACAGCCAGGGTGACAGCAGTGCTGAGGGGGGGACATGCTTGATCCAGGGCAGGTGGGATGTTTGGCCTCGGTGTCCATGCTCAGGCTGGGTGGCAGGAAGGGTTTTCCACCTTGTCAGGCTGTTCCAGGTCTGGTGCAGGTGTCTGACCCTGACAGGCAGCACTGGGCTGGGCTCTGCTGCAAAATGCCCCCTCTGGCACAGGGGGTGTGACACCACTGGGATGGATGGCTGTAGGTGGGATGGGCTCCTTCCCTCCTGCCCTGCTCCTGCTTTCCTTTCCCACTGTGGCTCAGGGAACATGCCAGCCCTGGAGGCTTTGGGTTTCCCCTCTAGCTGAGGGTGCCTCAGGAGATGCAGCTGATGGCTCCAAGGCCATGGGTGGCAGCACTCCCTGCCCAGCTCAGCATGACCCCTCTGATCCCACCTTTCAGCTGCTTTGGGATAATGGTGTAACCCCCCAGATCGGGTTTGGATGGTCACATTGGCTTTTCCAACCACCCTCAGCAAGGTTTGCTTCTCCTGTTTATTCCTCATGGGATGATCCCTGTTTCCTCTGGTGCTGGCTGCTCTACTGGGTGTGGGAGTCAAAGGTACAACCTCAACCAGCCAAACCCTCTGGGTCTGGCAACATCAGCCAGGCTCTGGCATCACTGACATGGACTAAAATCCATGAGGTTTTGCTCTGACTCCTGAGTGGGAGCGAGGAGCTCTCAGTGGGAGGTGGTGTCAGGCTGCAGGAGAAGGAAAATGGGAAGCCACAAAATCAGCAGGAATTTCCTGGAGGTGGAAGGCAGGAGGAGTGGGACCAGCCAGGGGCTTCCTGTGAGCTCCTGTCGTGGTACAGGCACACTGTGGGGATTCTCCCATCACTCAGCTCCTCTCCCCAGTAGTGGAAAGAGTCAATTACTAAATCTTCTACTGGGAAATGTGAAAGGAAGTTCACCAGCTTTCTACCCGCTTTCTAAACCAGCAGAGGAACTTGGAAGGGAACCACATCCAGCTCACTGTGCCCAAGCACAGGTCAGCTGAGGTGCCCAGGCAGGGGAGGGGATGAGACCAGAAATGAGCTTTATCTTCTGCCCTGAGAAGCTGGTTTCTCCCAAGGAACAATCAGCCAATTGCCCACAGCATCCCCAATCCAGAGTTGCTGGTGCTACTGAGGAGCAGCCCCTGCTTTCCCAGACCAAGGAGTTCTGGGGAATAAGGGCTGCCCTGGATCCCAGCTGGAAGCCCCCAGTCCCTGCAGACCAGCCTGGGAGTGTGATCTGGACTGGCCCAGAGGTGACTCCTACAGCTGGCTCCTTCCAGATGTTATCCTTCACATCTGGCAGCTTAGATCCTTGGAGTCCATCAGGGGCAGAAAAACAGTTTTCATTTTGCAAGAGAGTCCAGAGAGAAGAGTTTTGTGTCCAGCTATTGCTCCTTATTTTCTTTGCAACAGCTTTTCATGTCCATAACTGTGTCCTCACCCCCACTGAGTCCCCAAACCCACTCATGCTCTGGGCAGGGGATTGAGACGGGACTTACAACTCTGCAGCAAGGTTCAAAGGGGCCCAAAGGTCAAGGAAGGACAAGCTGGTGCCAACAGGTTTCCCAGGTGTTGGCTAATCCCT